GTCCCTGACTGATACACTGTCCCTGACTGATACACTTTCCCTGACTGATATTGTCCCTGACTGATACACTGTCCCTGACTGTTACAGTGTCCCTGACTGATACAGCATCCCTGACTGATACACTGTCCCTGACTGATACACTGTCCCTGACTGATAACACTGTCCCTGACTGATACATGTGTGTGTTTTGAGATTTTTCAGCGTTCCCAAAGTCTCATCACTTTGCATTTTTCCAGACGATTCCACTAGGGGGCGTTAGTCTGTTACTCCTAGCGGTCCTTCATTTTTTACCCAAGGAGTTAGGATATGCTGACCGTTCCTGTGGTTCTCAGAAGGCCCGCTTGTCTGAGGGGCTCCATTTCCTCTGTGGTCCGAGGTACTTTGGGGCTAACAGAACAGGCAGATCAAAGGGTTGCTGGGGAGAAAAGACCCCTTTCTCTAGTCACTTGATTTCAGAACTCTTGCTGGTTCACAGAGTGGTCACTGGGATATGCTGGCTTGATCTTACCTGTAAGGGTGCACAGGATTTTCCGCTAATAAAATGAGTCTTGAAAAACACAAGGACACACCACAAAGCCCGTTCGTAGCCCTGCTTCCCTGGAAGCAGCATGCGCTGTTTCTGATGTCTCTGTTTGTAGCTACTTTTACTGACTGAGCACATCACCTGACCTAAGAGAGGGTTATGGAAGGTAGGCTGTGCCTACTTGACCAGCTAGTCCCTCCCAGGTTTGGTGAGGAGGGACACTTACATCAGCACGAGGTGAAAACAGACCCACAGAACCACACCGTGAAGCCGGTGAGAAGAATTGACTTTGTACTTCCTCCCACCTCTCCCCCAGGCGGAGTATGAAGTGGCCGCTGAGGAAGACCAGCAAGATTGTGGGCGGAAGGTCCTGGACCGGTTCTTCAGTGAGGAGGTGTGTTTCCTTCTGAGATGGGCGTTTGTGACCCACTTGCATATAATCAGAGTACCCAAGCCGGTCGTATGTACTGGATAATACATAACCAACATGGTAAAAGCTGTAATTTCTTATCAACGTGCCCCGTCTGCGTACTACTTTGATTCAGTGAGGGAAGCAGCAGTTCAGTTCCCTAGAAAGTGGATTCTAAGAATTTAAAAGTGTTTATGGTTCCTACAGTCCTACAGACTGTAGAATTAGAGAGTTGTATTTGCTCCTCTTGGACTGAAAATAGTCTCCTCCTCACCCCTCCCTAAAACCTGTAACTGGTCTTAGATTTTGTGCTTTTTGATTCTCCAGGCCCCTGGAGCTTTGTCTGTAACTGACAGGAAAGCCGTCACCTGCTTCCCTTGTGGGCTGTGTGAGAAAATGCTGGAAGGCTGGGTGTGGTGGGGAGGGGTGCTAACCATAATGAAGGCAACACTTGGCGACTCCTGCTGGAAACATTGAACGGGTGTAATGTATCACGTCAACTTCTCAAGGGAACCATGGGATAGACACTATCATTATGCCTGTTGTGATCAGACTGAATCAGAGAGGGTAAGTGACTTGCCCAAGGTTATTCAACTAGTTGGTAGTGGAGCTGGAATTCTGTCTTGTAGAGAGCAGTGTGGTGAGAATAAGCTAACTGGAGCTAACTGGAGATACAGGCCGTTGATGGAGTCAGGGGAGCTTCCTTAGTGCAAAAGATTAGGGTGGGGGAGGGCAGGCCAATGCTGCCCTGCTCAACTGGCCGGCCGATGGCACAGGTGTGCTTCAGACCCCCATGGGGCTTGACCCCAGCCTCAATACCATGTCTCCTAGACCATTTTTATTTCAAACGTAGCTAATTATAACCCTAACCCAAATACACTCCCCTCAAATTGGTACCGACTCATAGCACCCCCGGCAGTACAGACTGGAACAGCTCCATAGGCTCCTAGATTGTCAATCTTTAAAGACACAGACAGCCTCGTCTTTCTCCTTCAGGGCAGCCAGTGGGCTCAAACCGCTGACCTTTCAAGTGTCTACATATTGGGAGGACTCCAACAAGAGCAGTGACAGACAAGTCTCATTTGTCTTTCCGTAGCTCCTGTTTTTTCTCTGCCTCTCCTGGAGAAGGAACACATAGCATGAGGTCCTCAAGATTAAAGGGAGTATTGGCAAAGTGGGTAGTGACTGTAGGCGAGGCAGGACGGGGCAGTTGTGTGTGTGGCTCTGGACTAGTGAGAGATGTCCATGGATGGTCTGACCGTGGTGACGTCAAAGCCTCCGCCCCCTTTTCTTACCTCCAGTCAGGGAGCCGGTCACCTTCCTCACTTGGACACGAGCTCGCCCAGCCCATGTGCTCTACTTAGCAATCAGGAAATCATTCACGACTTCATTGTAGGTTTTCTTCTGTTTTTCTCTTCCCCCCTCATTTTTCTAATAACAACAACTTTCTCTTCTGCGTACCAAAAAAGGGAACTCCCTGAGGTCGCTTACTCAGATTTCAGCAATCCAGAACTACTACGGCACCAAAAAGTAAGGCAAGATTGTATGTGTCATTCTTGCGTTGGTTCATCCGTCCATCCGTCCATCCATGCATTCAGGCTATCTGTTGTGTGCGTCGGTTTTATGTCGGGCACAATACTAGGTGCCAAGTATGCAACGGTTCACAAAGGAACTCTGAGCCTGGACTCATAGAAATGGACAGGGCGGAGGGACAGACAAGAGACCTGCTTGAGGTGGTCAAGATGTTCTCCGATAAGAGAGCTTTTCAGAGGGATTGAAGAGTGACAAGAAGCTGGGATAGAACGCCAAGGACAGCATTCCAGGCAGAGGATAAGAGAAGCATGTGCAGAGACCCAGTGGTGGGGAAGAACTTTGTGTGTCTGAGAAGCTACAGAAAATTACTGTGGCTGGGGCATATTGGGCAAAGAGATTTTTAAAGAGGTAAATAAAGTAGGGAAGTTAGGCAAGGACCACATCATTCATTTAAAAGGTAAGAAGGAAGAAACCTGCAAGGCGAAATCAACCAGAGAATACTAATTGCTGTGCAAAATCCTGTGTAGCAATTAACTATCAGAACAATGCCATTTACAATCTCATCAAAAATGATACACTTTGTAAGCTGGTCTTCAGCCTATAACTGATTGGAATACCTAAATTCTAGAACTTGCCCAGTGAAATAGGCCTCTTGTGGAGCCTTTGCAGAGTATAGGACCTTAGGTGGAATCCTGAGCCCATCCAGAACCTTCTGAGGCGGGACATTCCCACTAGAAAGGACAAACAGACCAGCCTGGAATAGCTAGAGAGACAGAAGATACATCTTCAAAGAAAGATTGTCAGGAAAACCCTAAAACAGAAATGGCAGTATGACTGGCTACTACAAGAATAAGCAAGTTGTTCACTGGGAAGCCATCAAGGCAAGCAATCAGGTTCCTTCAGGACAAACTCCCCTCTAAGACTGAAACTCAAAGGGAACACACAAACAAGCATGCAAGCTTCCTGGCAGCCACATTGGTGAGTGGAAGAGGGGGAGAGGCAGCAATGAAGAAATGGGCTGAGTTCAACCACATTCCATAGACTCCCACTGACCTGGAGATGAGAGAGAGAAGAGGAAGGGCTGGTTGGTCCAATGTGTGGTGAGACCTGAGGACACCTGAGCCCATGGACAAGGACATAGCCACAGGGGGGTAGAGCTGAAAGTGAGGCGTCCAACTGATATGAAGAGGGGGGAGATGCACAAGAACACCCAAACTTGCAGATAGTACCCATTTGACCTAGCCTCGATGGCTTGATGATGAGAATTTAACTAGAGGAAGATAAAAACAAAATAAAACAAAAAACAATTTTTGATAAAGGAAACAAGTATAAATTGCTACAATTTGGTGAACTTTACCTATACTCATGGAGGTAGTAACTCTAAATACCAACAGAGAGGTAAGGAGTCTTCACATCAAGTATCAATGCTATCCCCTCTGTACACAGGGTAGATAGGGACAGGCAACTTAGACATTGGCTACCTAAAATGAGGGGGCGATAAAGGCACAAAAAGTGACTGGTTTACAAGGCTTCAAGAGGGATTTTAGTTTAAGAGTGTGTCGGAGACGATAGAGTCCCCATTGAATAGTTTTCATCCTGTCTAGATAGGTCTTGTAAAAAAAGAGATGAGGATAAGATTCTTATGATTCAACAGTGAGTAATTGTTATCATGACTAATTGCTACTGTCACAATTGTAAAAGTTTTGTAACAAAAACAGGGGTTAATCTTACAATCCAGAAACAGAGGACCCTAGGACCATCAAGGGAGAAGAGCACCAGCAGAATGTGGGACCTTATCCAGAGAAGCAGTGACACCAGAGATGGAGGCAGAGATGGGGGCATGGAGAGAGGGAGCAGCTGAGGACTCTAGACTTATGGGAAGAGAGGGACTGAGAGCTTGTGGCCAGGAGGCAGACTTGCAGAATGTGCCCATTGGTGATGTAAACTATTATAAATGCCCGAGTTGTTGGTTTTTTTTTTAAAAAGAGCTAAAGTGAATAGAGAGAAATACTGTTAACTGATGGTACATGGAGGGGATTATAATCATTATAATGAAACAAGGTGTATGAATTGTTGAATGTAAAACTGATGATCTGTCCTGTAAACTTTCACTCAATTCACAATAAAAACTTTAAGAAAAAAAAAAAAAATACACTTAGGAATCAACTTAGCAAAAGACGAGCAAAACTACATACTGGAAACTGTTAAGACGTCATTGCAAGTAACTGGCGACCTTAATAAATGGAAAGACACCCCATGTTCCTAAAATTCATCTGGAAATTCAAGGGACCCAGAATTACCAAAACACTCCTGAAAAAGAAAGTTGAAGGACTTTAATTTTCCAGTTTCAAAGCTTACTGCAATGCTACAGTACCGAGACAGGTCAGCACTGTCTGTCTGTACAGGGATTTGTGTGTCTCTATGATAGGGGAGCTCTGGTGGCTTAGTGGTTACCTATTGGGCTGCTGACCGCAAGTTCAGCAGTTCAAATCTACCTGCCACTTCTTGGGAGAAAGATGAGGCATTCTACTCCCCTTGGAAGCCCCGAACTGGGTCCGTATGAGTCAGAACTGACATACCACCATCATACTGGAGTACTGGAGTCTTGATGTCATGCTGTAGGTTAAGCCCTGAACTGCTAACCACAAGGTCGGCAGTTCAAACCCACCAGCTGCTCCTCAGAAACCCCATGAACCAACTTGATAGTACTTTATCAACAACAACGATGATACTGGAATGGAGTCCTGGTGTGGCATTAACTGGACTGTCAGTTTCAAGGTGGGTGGTTCAAATCCACCGGCCCACTCTTTGGAAACCCTATACAGGATTGCTACAAGTCAGAAGCTACTGAACAACAGTTAGCAAAAACAGAATGATACTAGAAACTGCCATTGATATTTCAAATACCAGCAGGGTCACCCATGGATAGATTTAAGTGGACTTCCAGACGAAGGCAGACTATGAAGAATGGCTTGGCAATCTCCTTGTGAATTACAACAGAATATTGTCCTAGGAAGATGAGTCCCTAGGTTGGAAGGCATTCCGAATACACAGTGTTGGCAACAGTGGACTCCAATTATTGTGTGCCAATGATTGTAAAATGACACAGAACCAGGCGATTTGGAGCCATGAATTGATCAGTGTGGGTCAATGGGACAACAACAAGGTTAGACAGTGGAGTGGAATGGACAGTCCAGGAATAAACCCATAGATTTAGGGGCAACTGATCGTCAGCAGCAGCACCGAGAAAATTCAATGAGGGAAGAATTGTCTTTTCAGCAAATGGTGCTGAGACAGCTGGATAGCCACAAAAACTGAACAAAGGTGGACTCGTATCCCACGTACATAATGGTTAACTGAAAATGTAGCACAGACTTGAATGTCAGAGCTAAAACTTAGAAGAAAACCTGGGTGTAAATCTTCATGGGTTTAAATGAGACAGACACAAAAAACTAGTAAGAAAAGATAAAACAGATAAGTTAGACATCCTTGAATTAAAACTTGGAAACTTGGAAGAACACTGTCCAAATGAAAGGACAGCCTACAGGATGCAAATCAGATATCTGATACGGCATAGTGTTGCTTCTGTTTAAGTGCCATCAAGTTGGTTCCGATTCATAATGATCCTGTAGGGTTTCAGAGGGGCAGCTCGGAATCACTGACCTTGTGGTCAGCAGTCCAGTGCTTATCCTGTAGCTCCACTCCAGATAAAGGTGTAGTATCCACAATATGCTTGTGTAAAGAACTTTCACAACTCAGCCACAAAACTACAGAAAATGCAATCAATAAATGGGCAATGAAGTTGAATAGCCAGTTCTCCAATGAGGAGAAACAAATGGCCAATAAACAGTGGAAGGTGCTCAGCATCGTTAATCATCAGGGAAGGGCACATGGAAACCTCAGTGAAGTAGCATGGCGAGAACAGAAAAGGTCATAGCAAGCGTTGATGAGGACCTCACACACCGCTAGCGTAGATGTAAACGGCACTGCCACATCAAACACAGTCTGGCAGTTCCTCAAATGATGAACCAGAGTTACCGTATGACCCAGCAAGCGCACCCTCAAACATATCCCCAAGAGACTTGAAAATGTCTAACAGCCAAAAGAGGGAAACCACTCACATTGTCAACCAGCTGACGAATGGATAAAGCAAATGTGGTATAGCCAAACAATGGAATATTAGTCAGCCCTGAAAAAGAATGCCATCCTGATACAAAAACCTAGATGAATCGTGAAAGCATGATGCTGAGTGAAGGAAGCCAGTTAAGGAACCAATTCCATACCATGATTTCCTTTGTCTGAATCACCTGCCCTCGGGCAGTCTGTAGATCAGTGGATGCATCGTGTCACCAGCAGCTTGGAGTTGTAGGCAGCACACAACCTTGCTGTGTGGTGTGGCTCCCCGCCCCCTCCCCGATCTCTGATGGCAGTTTCTCATCAAGTTGAGCGTGATCTGGGTGCTCTCTCGGGGCAATTTCACAGCGGCCTGCCACTTGGTTATTTTGTTTTCTCCCAGAGTCCTCTGGACAGGGGTTAGGTTGATACCTGGGGACTTGGTACCTGGGGCCACGCTCGGTGGGTGTGTCAGGTGACCGGGCTCCTGCAGGTGGTTCTGCAGGACATGTCAACATTGAGCACGCACGCCCCCTTTCAGCTAGTCATTCTAGTTGTGTCCCATGGGAACAGCCATGGATGGAGGTGCTCTTGGCAGGAGTGCCTGCTCTGAGGGGACGGAAGGTAGAACGTTGAATAGGGGCAGATGAATCCCCAGGATGTCGGCACGTGCCTAGGAAGCTGTATGTGTGTTTTCATCTCATCTGCACAGGGAACAAGAAACGGCATGTATTTCTCAGGGTTGGTTTGTATTTCTGCAGAGCCCGGGCCACAAAGACAAGGAGTAGGCCCTGAATTCTGAAGAGAGGCCCCAGGGAGGCTGAAGGGTGATGACACTTGGACTTGTCACTTTGTACCCAGGGTTTTGTTTGGTTGGTTTTCGTATAGTAAGTGCTAGATTTTGGTAATCACTGGTGTATTATGAAATCACTAATTGTTATGCATTTGGCTTGTGCTGGAGGAAGACGGCTGAAGCTCATTTACCAGAAATACCTCAGGATGTTGTGACAAAGTGTAGAGAGAGATTAGAAGAGGAGCCCTCCAAAGACATCTTTGAGGAATGTGCTAGGTGAGTGGTTGGTGCCCAGCCTTTGCCTAGTATCCACAGCCGACCCCAAGACGGAGGGCTGACCGGAGGGCGTCCATGTTAGACAAGTTCCATCAGAGCCCTTTGCACAGTAAGACCAGCGCCTTCATGAGACACAGACAGATGAAGAGCAGTAAGGCTCCAGGCCCTCTGCTCAGCTTTCCAAAATGCTTGTGTAGGAGAAAGCACTGGACCTCAAGGTCAGTTTGAACCACACGGTCAGCAGTTCAAATTCACCAGCCACTCCTTGGTGACTTGGTGGCTTTGAGTCAGAACCAACTAGACGGTGCTTAACTATAATAACAGAATAAAAAGATTCCCATAAAATGATTTCTTAGACCTCTGTACTCACTGAAAACATCTTTTCTCTGGGTCTTTGCAACACGGACAGGAAAATTTTAGTCCAGAGCAGGAAGAAAAATGGTTTCTGAGATGACCTAGGCCCAAGGCACGTCATCGTTTGTAGGTTGATGGCGACATCCAGGTATGCCTTCTAAGCCACGCGGCAGGTGTTTGCTGTGCGCTGTGAGGCACTCCTCTGTAGGCCGGGCTGACAGCTAACCACAAAACAAATTCTGCTGAAATGAGGAGCCCTGCTGGCACTGTGGGTCAGGTGTTGTTGAGCTGCCAACTGCAAGGTCACAGGTTCAAGCCCACCAGCCGCTCTGCAGGAGAAGCACGAGGCCGTCTGCTCCTGTATGATTCATAGTCTCAGAAGCCCTCTAGAGGGGGGCTCTGTGTTGGAATCAGCTCAGTGGCAGTGGGGTAGGGACTTGAGTTTACCCTCTACAAGTCTCCAACAAACACAACAAGCCTGTCACCATGGAGTTGGCTCGGACTCCTGGTGAGCCCATGTGTTACAGAGTAGGACTGCTCTGTGAGGTTTGCTTGGCTCTAATCTTTATAGATGAAGCAAAGAGCTTTATGACAAAGTGAATGCTTTCTTAACTATCCTACAGCAGTATAACTGTATTCAGTATAATTGTTAAATGAATGCTACTGAATTCTAATCGATCTCTAAAATTATTGATCTGTGTATTGTGTCCAATAATTTTCAGGAGATGGGACCTTCTAATAATTGAATTTTATTTCAGACTAGGTTAAATCCCAACAAAATGGAGACAAGTGTTTGTTTTTTTGTAATGAAATGAGCTAACTTGTTTGTTTTTGGGGGGAGGGGGGTGTACACAAAAACAACAAGTTTTTTTTTTTAAGTAAATATCCTCTCCTAATCTGAGCTCTGGTAGCGTAGTGGTAATGAATCGGGCTGCTAACCTCAAGGTCAGCCGTTCGAAACTACCAGCCATTCCACAGGAGAAAGATACGGCTTTCAACTCCCGTAAAGATTTACAGCCTTGGAAACCCTGTGCAGGGTCACTATGAGTCGGAACCGACTCTACGACACTTAACAACAATCTTTACATAAGCCGGTCACCAGATCTTTCTTCTGCATGCCACTTGTTGAGTTTGAACTGTGTAAAGCACGCACACACACCCCGGGATACATTTTAACCTCTGGTCTTTCTACTGATCCCCAAACTCACATCAAATCCACTATTGTTGAGTTGATTCCAACTCACAGTGACCTTAGAGAAGAACGTGGGACGGCCCAGAAGAGCCCCAGAGCTGTACAGCCTCCGGAAGCTATGGCTGTCTCTCGGAGCAGCTGTCGGGTTGGGAGCACTAACTAACCTTCCGGTGAGATGCCAGTTGCTTTAATGACAGTAGCACCTGGGTTCCCTTTCTACTGATGTGTCATCTTAATCAAGTATTTCTCTGAGGACCATATATACGAAGTTGAACCCTCTCACTTGGAGAGGATGAAAGGATTTGTTTGGAATTTTTGTCTTTATAGTTTCCTGATGACATTAGAAGACGAGTGTGGAATTCTCTAATTATCATGTAATGTTGTTGTTGTTAAGTGCCGTCGAGTCGATCCTGACCCATAGCGATCCCATATAGGGTTTCTGAGGAGCGCCTGGTGAGCTTGAACTGCCGACCTTGAAGTTCAAACAGCTTTGCAGTCTGGCACATTAACCCACAGCGCCACACCAGGACGTTCCCATACCCAGTGGTAATTAAAGCACTCAAACCCAGTCTTCATGTTGTAATGCAACACGTGAGTAATTGCCTAAAATCTTGTTTCTAGAATCGTTCATAAGTATTTAAGTGGAGAGCCATTTGAAGAATACCAAGACAGCTCATATTTTTCTCGGTTTTTACAGTGGAAATGGCGGGAAAGGTAGGGGCTCATTTAAAATTCAACGAAGCCAGTAACAACTTCTCATCCTGAGCACTGGTTGTTCATCTGTCAAAGTATTATTGGAAATCTTGGGTTCCGTGTCGTATTTTTGTGCAGAAATTATGAATTGATATCAGAGGTGGTCCCCAACTTAACGAGAGGTTCCTTTCTGACCCCTCGCTTGTAAGCCAGCGCTGATACAAGTTGAATCCCTTTTTCACCGGAGGGACAAATTGCTCACATAGAGAGGATTAGTATCACACGGCATTAAAAAGAAATCCGTGTACAAGGGACCCACGGTGTTCAAACCCTCATTCCAGCGTCAACTGGAATTTCAGAATTGTTACAGGATCCCCTGGGGAATGTGTATAAAGTGCTTACTTGGTGCTTGGCGCACAAAACAAGTGCTCAGAAAATGTTAGCCGTCCGTTGTCACTACCATCATTACAATTATTACTGATGGATGACATTTCAGTTCACACATTTTGTTTTGAGATCTTGGGGTTAGGTGTAAAGACCTTCTTGGAGGCTCCTTTTCCCAAGAACCTCGTGCTGTGGTGCACAGCTTTCTGACAGGTTCGCAGAGGTGAAGCTGGCAGCATAGCTAAGGAGACCAGTATGCCACCCACGCACAAGCATTTCATGGTGTGGGCTGGCTGAAGGTGTGTGTTCAGTTAGTGAGGCTAGCTGGGGTCTTCTGCATCTTACTGCGCTGCCTTCAGTTAACATTCAGTGTTCCCAAAAGCACATGTCTGAGTCGGTGGTGTGTAGAGAGATGCCCACCAGAGGGAGCCACAGTACCAGAGCCCAACCTTCACCCTGGGAGGCCCAGACAAGAACCAGGCTTCTGAGTTTTAACCTAACAATGTGAGACCTGAAGTCTTTCTTTTTCTTTTTAAATCAGGCAACCAATAACAAAGAACACATTCAGACATTACAGAGTTCTGGGAAAAGGCGGATTTGGAGAGGTGAGTAGTATGTGACTCATTCTGAACTGTATTTCTAGGTAACTAGACATCCAGGTAATTAAAAAGGCATTATTTCAGGTAAGGAATTAACTTGACCAATGCATACATTTCCTTGCATCTTGGAAATAATTATAGCGAGTCATGAGACTAAAAGTCGCTCTGGTAGCGTAGTGGTTATAAGTTGGGCTGCGAACCTCAAGGGCAGCAGTTCGAAACTAGCAGCCATTCCACGGGAAAAAGATGAGGCTTTCTGCTCCAATAAAGATTTACAGCCTCGGAAACCCTATGCAGGGTTGCTATGAGTCAGAACCAACTCCACGGCACACCGCCACCACCACCACCACCATGAGAATGAAGATTGGATGTTGAGTAAAACCCGTTTGCTAAACCTTTAAAGAACGTCATTATTTGGGACTGCACCTTTTGCAGCTTAGTTCATTTAGAAGCTGGTTCCCTTGTTCAGTATTCAAACTCCAAGGATTTATAGTTTGTCCTGATTCAGAAGAGTGTGCTGATTTCGTATTGTAGAATTTCCATTATTCTATTGCTACGACTAGATGAACCTTGAGGACTAGCCTAGAATTACATGTGCTTCAGATGATATTATTAAATATGCTTTCTTAACTCTGTTTGGGTATCTATGTCTATATCTACCCCTCCTTACTACTGACATGATTAGGTTTCAAACACCTGGTTGTTGTGCAAGAATTGGTGTTATTTGAAAATGGAAGATGATGGTATCAGATCACAAAATGGACAGTGATTACGTCATTACATAACTAACACATTGCATCATTACGTAACTGCCAAATGACATCATTGCATAACTGCCAAATTGATAAGCATTGTGGCCCAGCCAAGTTGGCACGTAGCCCTAACCGTCACAGCCAGAGCTACTGTCACCTCGAACATACGCGTTTGGTGTCTGCCAGACGTACGCTGTTGATGACAAAGTAGTTGGAGAGTAGACGCTTTACTTTTGTCATGCTGCTGAACCGTCAGCTCATGAGCGTCAAGAATGAGAAAATGTAGAGCTTCAACAATTCTTGGAAATTTTTCATTGTCTTTTTTTTTTTCTTTCTGCCATTGTCTTGTAATTCCATTTCTCCACAAACTTTTTGAACCCCCTCCCCCCCGTGTGTATGTGTGTGAGCACACGTGTGTAAAAATGTAGTGTGCGTGGGTTTATTCCAAACAACTTGTGTTTAAATATGTCTCTGTCATCAGTGGAGGGCTGTAGCCACATTCTCTCAGTAACACACTTCCCTTAGTAGGGTGCCTGTCAAAAACAGGACACTTTTTGTGCCATGGAAAAAACTGATTTTGAGGTCAAGGCTAATACCAACCTTTAACAAAACTCACATGGGCATCTTCCCAAATTACTGAAGCTTTGTGATGTATTTATGTGAATGCTGCCTGCCCCACATAAAATGAGTTTTGAGATGAATCAAGGCATTTTAAAGAAAGTCGGAAAGACGTCAAAGGGGAATTCAAGGCAGAAAGGTCAGTTCAGAAGGTCTTGGAGATTGTGTGGGGGAAAAAAATATATATATATTATAATCCTGTTTACTGTATTCG